TGAGAGTTAGTGAGTGAGAGAGGGATCCAAGTTCTCTGGGTGCGTGTGTCTGTTTGAGAGAGGGGGAAGGGAGGGAGAGAGGGAGGAAGGAGTGGGAGGGAGAAGAAAAAGAATGGGAAAACTTATTTTGCAAGGGGGAAAATGCTGTCACTTTAAATCGGAACTGAGCATGCCTAGCTGTGGGATTCTGGGAGTTGAAGTCCACAAGTCTAAAAAGTGCCTCACCAGGGCTAAAGCTGACCGCACGTCACTGGAATGCATATAGCATTTTTGGGAAGCTTAATGGGTGTGATGAGTGGAGCAATGATGCAAAGTGATGAACTAAATTATTTTTCCCTGCTTGAGTCAGGAAGTCTGTGCAATACCACTAATTTTCCACAATAGTAGCAAAAGAAGTATCTGAGACTTAAAAAAAAGAAAAACTTCATGTGGGTGATGTAATGTTCTGTTGTATACATGCGTTGCTCTCTTAGGCAGAATTGTGTGTGAGTGAAATGGATGGCTGGTGCCAACAGCTTCAGAGTTTAATCTGAGCAGGGATAAGTGCTTTCTGAGTGCAAAAACATTTCCTTTTGTCATTACAGTGTAGGCAAGTCACCTTATTTACAAAGGGAAGGGGGAAGTAGTCACAGCAACGAACACTTTGTTGTGATTGTTCTTTTTTTTTTTGCTTGCTTACCTGTGTGAGTTGTTCTATCCAGGTGTTCTCCACTTCTTGGAATGCAACTTGATGCAGAATATTTACATTCAGATTCCTTAGCACTCTCTATGTGATTACCAAGCACAGAGATTAGCAACATATTGAAGTTTCTGTAAGGGTTTCAGGTAGGGTTTTTCCCACTGTTTCTTCTTGTGAAATTTAAGCATGCAATACAGTAATAATATGAAGCAAGAAATTCAAAAAGAAGACGAGGAAGAGAATGTTTAATAAAGGTAACGGGTCTACTATTTAAATGTTTAATATAGTTAAGAAGCAAACTATATCATGAAGCAGATAAATTAAAATAAAGATTACACATATTTGTTTTCTGTGAGATACTGGTAATGAAATGAAAATGCAATGTAATTTTCCTGGACAAGCACTGCTACGTGTTCCCTCTTGCTAAATCTAGCAAACTCTTGACCTAACATGATGGGAACACTTAACATCGATACAGGTGGTACTTTTGTGTGTTGTGATTCAAAGCCTCATCTAACAACAAAATTGTTTCATATTTTGTATATCCCAAATGAAAATAATCAGAACTTGTTTATTTTTGCTCTTCCTGAAAGAAATTCCTTAAATACCAATTCTGTGTATTTGTCAGTGAAAGACTGGAGATTTCATATGTGGGATTATTGAATTCATTCATAAAAAAACACTACTGATAAATCTTTTATGATACCATAGAGAATATAAGGGAATATTCATGAATCTAAAACGTGCTTGGGCATATACCTAGTAACACCATCCAAAGTTATATATGATGCAAAATACCAGTTATAATACACTACTAATTTCTATGGAAGTTCAGCTATTGATCCAATTCATAGTCAGCATAAAAAAAAAATAGGAAGCTTTGTTAGTACATCCGGAGAGATTGGGTGGTAGTGGTGGAGGAAGGGAAGGGAAGAGGAACAATCTACAAAGACTTTTCTCAGAATGCTAGATTGAGAAGTTAAAAACTTGGAATGGGATACAATCAAGCTTGATTCAAAAGCTTTGGCTCCTGAGGTCTCTGAGCTGCCATCCGAAAATACTATTACTGCGATCTCTGCTGCCTGGAACTGCCCGGGAAGGGGCAGGTAAAGTGGGCGCTGCAGAGATCATGATACCAGCATTTTGGGTGGCAACGCCACGATCTCAGAAGTCAAAGCCTTTAAATCAAGCTTGATT